TGTTATGGAAATTTGTATTCCTATATCTTTTCCCAGCTAATGTTATTACTTTTATGCTACTGTAGCCTTAAAAGAAAAGCCCCTTCTCATTCCCTTGTTTTACATGTGGCCATTTTGGGTTTTAGAAAAGAACAAGACTACCTCTATATTTTCTTCCTTTTTATTCTTCTACTTTTGAATTTCCTCCTTGGTTTTCCATTATTATTCCTATGCATCCTGCACATTACCGGATCTTTCCTCACCATTGAAGAGATTAAGTCACTCAGTTGGAGCTCGACTTATAGTGACCTTTACATGACCACAAGCATGCATTGTCTCAAGTTCTTCTTGTCTACAGTCGTCAAGACTTTAAGTGCCTAGATCTCAATAAGTCCTGAATCACTGCATCTAGTACTCTTTCTTAATCACTGTTAATAGCTCAAACTCTTGGCTGCTATATCTGATCAGATGTTCCCTCTGTCATGTTTCTATGATTTCCTCCCCTTTGTTTGTACTGGCCTCTTGATTTAAAGTTCATCTATGTATAAAAATGTATAAAAACCCGGTATCAGTATGCTGTTGGAAGGGACACAGTACAGTGATGGGAGACATGCTTCTCCTAATTCTGGAATTTAAAGTATTGTTGCCTCTTGCTCTGCCTGCAAATGTCATATAAATTTTTTGATTAAAAAGGGGAAAACAAGAAAACACAGCAACAGTAACTCTCAGAAAGCCAGAAAAAACAGTGATAAATAAATGCTTGGGTCAGTGTTTCAATTATCAGTTAAACTGTTAAATAGTTATACTTACTCTATACTTATACATGTAAGCAAAATAATTTTAGTCTCGGTGTCTTTTGAAGTATAGGTTTTTCTTGTTCTCTCTTTGTGAAGCATAGTATCAGAGTGAATTTGGGCATCTACTAATGGTTTTTGTGCTTATCTTGACATAATCTCAACTGTGACAATATCTAAAATTTCAAACTGTGGGTATTAAATGGCTGTGCATAGAAGGCTACAGAACCATAGGTGTGATCCCTATATGACTAAAGTTCTTATGCAGATGTTACGTGCTATAATGGCAGGCCAGGACATATCAAAGAGTTCCATAAAATCAATTCTTCTAGAGTGAAGACTAGAACAAAATAATCTATACTGACAGCATAGTCCGCTACCTATAAACTAAAAAAATGAGTGTGAAAGCATAGTATCAGAGTGAATTTGGGCATCTACTAATGGTTTTTGTGCTTATCTTGACATAATCTCAACTGTGACAATATCTAAAATTTCAAACTGTGGGTATT